TCAGCACAGAGCCCGACGTGGGGCTCGAACTCACGGACCGCGAGATCATGACCTGAGCTGAAGTCGGCCGCTTAACCGACTGAGCCACCCAGGCGCCCCAATAACTTTTAAAACAATAGCTTAAGGGGCGCCTGGGTGGCGCAGTCGGTTAAGCGTCCGACTTCAGCCAGGTCATGATCTCACGGTCCGTGAGTTCAAGCCCCGCGTCGGGCTCTGGGCTGATGGCTCAGAGCCTGGAGCCCGTTTCCGATTCTGTGTCTCCCTCTCTCTCTCTGCCCCTCCCCCGTTCATGCTCTGTCTCTCTCTGTCCCAAAAATAAATAAAAAAACGTTGAAAAAAAATTAAAAAAAAATAAAACAATAGCTTAATTCATTCATAATTTACATACCATAGAATCCATTTAGAGTGTACAATGTAGTGTTTTTTTGGTATAGTCAGAATTGTGATGGTATCACAATTTTAGAACACTTAAATCACTTCTAAAAGAAAGCTGGTACCCATTAGCAGTCATGCTCCATTTCTCCTGCCTCTGGCAACCAGTAATCTTTTTGTCTATATGGATTTGCCTTATTCTGGACATTTCCTACAAATGGGACTGGCTTCTTTTGCTTGGCATGTTTCCAAGTTTCATCCATGTTGTAGCATGTATCAGTACTTTGGCCTTTTTTATTGCCAGGTTATATTCCATTGTATGGATATCCCACGTTTATCTATTCATCAGTTGATGAACATTTAGGTTGTTTCCATCTTTTGGCTATTATGAATAATGCTGCTCTAAACATTTAATCACAGGTTTTGAAAAAGCTGACATTGATGATTTTTGCTAGTGTTTTCACTTTTTTAGATAAGTAAATTTTTGCAGGTCCTTACTATGCCATTCTTCAGGGTGATTACCTCTCCTGTGGGTGTCTTGCCTCCTTTCACTTGTTGACTGTGGTTAGTAATAGAACAAGATAATCTCAGCTACTGAACTAGTTACTTCTGTTCTTCTACCAGAAGTTAAACTATCTTATAATAACACAGAAGTTTAAATAATATTGCATACTATTGAAGTAAGTTAAAATTTGTAAAACTCAGGAAATGATTTCCTTTTTTAGCTCAAGGATCTAAATGTACTTGATCGCTGTATAAAAGAAACATTAAGACTTCGACCTCCTATAATGACTATGATGAGAATGGCCAAAACCCCTCAGGTAAGTCTCTTGGTTAGATTTCCCCTTTCGTGTGTCCAGTTTGTATTTATCAAAAAGAAGAAATATTATAATAGCAAAGAGAATTTTTCTAATTAAGAAAGAATAATCATTTCTGTGTAATTTCAATTTTATGTATTCTAACTCTTGATATATAATTATATATTCAATTTATACAGATATTTTTATATAAATAATTGCAGAATATATACATTCTAATCTGTTCCCTGCATTTTTACTTAACAATTAGGGTTTTTAAAATGGTAATATATTTTTTCTTGGTTTAAAAAAAAACATGTTAAAGAAAATTCTGACAATATGGAAGAATATGAATTGGATTATGAAGGCTCCTTGAAATCCCTCTGCTACCTCTGAGGCGTTTATAGCTTTTTTTAATTTCCAGCCCCATTTTGGGTCACTTGGAAGTCATCTTGAGTTAAAATAATTTTCAGCTGGCCTGTCATCTAGCTAGTTTTTAAATATAAGTATAGCTCATGTGGGTTAATGCTTTATTACACAGTGGTCTGGTTATTTGGTAAAATATTGTTATATTTTCTAAGGAAATGTGTTGCTTTCATTTGTAGACTGTGGCAGGGTATACCATTCCTCCAGGACATCAGGTGTGTGTTTCTCCTACTGTCAATCAAAGACTTAAAGACTCATGGGTAGAACGCCTGGACTTTAATCCTGATCGCTACCTACAGGACAATCCAGCATCAGGAGAGAAGTTTGCCTATGTGCCATTTGGAGCTGGTGAGATACCATTTTACATTTGGAATTTTTGTTCTGAGAATGTGTTGATGTTTGTCAAAATAACCCATGTGAATTTTATTTACAAATACCTTTTCCTTTCCTCATACGGACATTTCTGTAAACATTAGTATAATCTTTGCCAAGTTAGAAAAAGTACTTTATTTGTACTAAAGGAAATAGTTTTATGAATTTTTACACAATGCTCTTTTACCTTTTAACCAATTTAGTTTTATCAGGGTTAATTTTGATAGTTCACTCTGTTTTCCCTTAAAATAGTATTTAAAGCTCTTTATGAGTTTTTTTTTTTATTTATATATGAAATTTATTGTCACATTGGTTTCCATACAACACCCAGTGCTCATCCCAAAAGGTGCCCTCCTCAATACCCATCACCCACCCTGTCCTCCCTCCCACCCCCCATCAACCCTTAGTTTGTTCTCAGTTCTCAACAGTCTCTTATGCTTTGGCTCTCTCCCACTCTAACCTCTTTTTTTTTTTTTTTCCTTCCCCTCCCCCATGGGTTCCTGTTAAGTTT